GAGTCTTATGTATTGCAGAGGCTCCGCAGGAAGCCTCCTTCACTGGGCATGTTGTAGCCCCATTTTAACTATTCCAATCAGTTATAGGCAGAAGATGGACTTACAAGCTTTCTATGCTGATACTTTTTGCTATTCCTTTCTTTCCCCCTCCAGTTTTACTCTAACATATGGGAGTCACCATGAGTTGAGATACACTTGATGGCAAGGATTTGATTTGGGTTATATTAGCACAAAATAACAATGGGAAGTTAGAGGAGCAATGATTGATGGAAGGAATGAAGAGAGTGAATCAGGAGGCTCTCCCGAATCCAGAAAAACAAAGCTCCTAGTAACCTCCCTGACCTGCCAGATAACTGAAGTAGACATCTATTGGTTTTGCCTGCCTAAGGACTTTCCTTTTTCTACTGTTAACAGCACCTTGATTTTACCCCATCTTTCCATACTGGGCACTGACCTCTTGGGCTTGTCAGTTCAGCTGCTCCCCCTTCACATGCCTGAGATATACACAATATGCCAAGTTAGCACAATCAGATGTCCATTCATGGAGATCATTAGAGTTCTTTCATCCTGGTGTCTCAGAGACCTTCTTCTACTCATTCTTGGTTTCTGGAACTCTACAGCTGCTTTGGTTTTTGCTTTGGTCTCACAGACCTAAATCTTCATTTTCCCTTTAAGTCTGTTAGCCACCCCTCTGAATCCTGGAGTGGCACTGTAGGATAAGCACTGGACCACAAGGTAGGCAGTTAAAATATACAGGGTCGCTATGAGCCAGAACTGAATTATTGGCACTTAACTCTTCCAGTAAATTCCTGTTTACCTATATTAGCCAGAGTTAGTTTCTGTTGCTTGCACCCAAAGAACTCTGATATAATGAGGAAAAGAGGCAAGTAAAAAATCTAGTCTTATGATTAATTCTGTAATTTCTGTTGAATTTAACATCATTGAAAAGGATTAGCCCTCGGGTAATAGGGGCCTGCCTTGATGAGGAGAAATAGCTAACATTTATAGACAATTACTATGATTCAGACATGCTTCTAAGCACTGACGTGCATTATCTTAATTAATCTTCAGAAGGGCCTCATGAGAGAGATGTTATTTTACAAATGTGAAAATTGAGGTAAAGAATGATTAAATAGCTTATGCTTATTCACATAGATTAATATTTTTCAGTTTGTTTTGTAGAATGTTGGCTTTTCAGAATGATCATAGGAATTGTTTCAAAAGGATTCTGTGGTCCACTAAATTAGGGAAATTCAGGATGCGTTCCAATAAATTAGGAAGTCACAACATGGTTCTCTGCTGTAGTCCTTCTGGAAAGACAGATCTTGAATTTGTTTATTTGCAAAGGAGAAGCCCCAAGATAGGACTAAACTGTATGATTTTTTTTTCAACATGTTTTGTTACAGATTTCTTTTTATAGGTATTGTGTGGGATTCATATGCTATGAGACACGGGACTCTCACACGCAGGGGGCGGTAGCAGGCACCCAGTGAGGTCACTCCCTACATTTCTGGTTCCTACTGTGTGACTTTGAGACAGCTGTTGTTTTTGTTTCTTTTTTTCTATGTCTGAGTCTTCTTTAAGACAAGGATGATATTACATGAAGGCAGGGATGTCATTGTATGAGGGTAAGTAAAAAAAAAAAAAAAGCATAGAAACTGTTACAAAACAAAAATATCAACATGTGAATCTATTGTTTCTTGACATATCTTCCATTGAGGTCTCGTAGTGTGGCACTGTGGGCTAATGTGTCAGACTGCAAAGTCATTTAAACTGCAAAGTCAGTGGTTCAAGCTCACCAGCTGCTCCTTGGAAACCCTATACAGGGTCACTATGGGTCAGAATCGACTTGACGGCACTTAACAACAACTTCTGAAGGTGGTGTTTCCATCTCTCTAGTATTGGACTGCTAACCACAATGTTGGTGGTTCAAGCCTATCAGGTGCTCTTTGGAAACCCAATACAGTGTTGCTATGAGTTAGAACCAACTTAACAGCACTTAACAAAAACAACAGCTCTTCTCCGAACAATTCTGTGCTCTTAGATTTACACCACATTTAAATGGCACTTTTGACATCCTTGAGGGATTCGGATTGTGTTCCTTTGAAATGTTCTTTGAGTTGGGGGAATGAAAACAAATCTGAAGGAGCAAAATAGGGCTGTAGGGTGGATTGGTTAAGGTTTCCCAAAGAATTGATCACAAGACAGCCCTTGCTATCCTTAAAGAATGAGAAGATGCTTTGTCATCATGGGAAAGAAAAAAAAAAAAATGCCTCGGCACAATTTTCTTGGCCTTTTTCTCACCACTGCCATTTCAGTTTTCTTATGTCTTCATAAGTAATCCCCATATCCATCTATTGTCCTTTGAGAAAATCTTTTAAGATTGCCCCTGTGGAGTCCCAAAAAACAGTTGTCATAACTTTCTGAGCTGACCTCTTTGCCTTGAAATGAACTGGTCCAGCAGACCCCTTCAGAAGCCACTGTTTTGATTGGAGATTATATATATATATATTTTTTTTTTGGAAGACACCTTAAGAAGACTAACACAAATGTGTCACTGAGAAAACTTGTCTGCAGCAAACCGAGTGCAGAGCCATCTTTAAATACTCTTTGGAACAAAACTGTGCTTGTATGAACTGGAACCCAACTAGCAATACTTTCTGACTTACCCTTCATAATTTCCCCTATGACTTTCTTGGGGATTTCTAAATTAAAGGAGAGAAGCTGAAGAATTCCTAGCATGGTGGTGGTGATGTGCTGTGGAGTCAGTTCCGATTCATAGCGACCCTGTACAGGGTTTCCAAAACTGTAAATTTTCACTGGAGCAGAAAGCCTCATCTTTCTCCCATGGAACGGCTGGTAGGTTTGAACTGCTGACCTTGAGGTTAGCAGCCTGAATTCGTAACCTCTACACTACCAGTGTAGCTAAGGCATTCCTGTCATAGTGGTTATGCTTGTTATGCTAATCAGAAGGTCCTGAACGCTCAGCGTGTTTATTAAGCATTTCCAGGACATAAAGAATAATTCTTAAGGTAGGACAGTTTCCAGCAGCAAGGCCTTGTTGCTCATCTTCATCTTCCTTTCACACATATTTTGTTTTCCCTTTTTGGGAGAATTATTTTCTTTATAATAATCAAATTTTACCTCAGATATATCTTCAACCTGAGTTAATCTTTCGCTGTACTTTATGAAGTCTTCAACATTAGCAAAGAATGGGCTGTTTTGCTCTGCAGTTCCTTATTCTAATCTTCCACTCCAGTGAGGGGAAGAGGATGTGATCATGCGCTCACCAGCAAAGGGGAAATTGTGAAAGGTGCCTTGCTCTAGAAAAGGCAACCCACAACAGCCTTATCTCTCAAAGGAGGGTGCGCTCTGAGAGGACACATCTGAGTGTTCCTCTCTGTCCATACGACATGGAACCAAAGAGGATCAGGGAGGGCTACCTTGTAAAGAGGGTAAGTCAAACTGATGGCTTCGGGCCTGGAGGGGGTTAGTGTCCGGTGTTGCACTATCTACCCACCCACTATAGGAATGTTTAATGCTAAACCTATTGGGCTGAAATAGGAAAGCATCACAGTTTGTAGAATGTTGGGGGTTGGTATTGGTAGTGCATGTTTTTTCCAGAGTCATTAACCTGTTCTACCAGAAGACTCTTCTGCTATGAAGAGTACTTGGAGAGTCTATTCCTATTTCTAAAGAAAGAGATTAAAGACATGATGTTACAATAATTATAACGTATTCATGGCCAATCTTAAAAATGGATGCATAAAAAATGTCCTTTTTGTCTTGGGCTGAAACATCTTCACTCAGAGCTCTTAGTGAGTCTAAATAACACATGTTTAAGGTGCTAGCGTGCTTATGTCTCACCAGGGAAGTGCCCAGGAGAGCTGAATTTTGTTAGCACTGTTGGTCTTTATTCTAATGTCTAAGTCATTGTGAAACTCCCTGCAATGGATGACAGAGAGCTCACACTCAGGACTTGTACTCTGTGGGCAATACCTTCAGAAGTTAGCTCATACTGACTTCAGCGCGTGTCAGAGAGCTATATTCCAATGATCCCTCCAGTTGCCCAACATTGTAACTGAATCAGCACTTAATGTGATTCCCTTTAAAACTGTAGTCTGAGATGTTCGACTTAGCAGGAGCTAGACAGCATTAACTGCTGCCTTATCTCTTCTGACTTAAAGCTGGAAGGAACCATAGATGATCTGACTTAATTGCCTCATTTTATTCAAGAAGATACCAAGACCCCAAGGCTCTATGATTGCTCAAGATCACATGGCTATGACAAAATTGGGTCTAGAAACCCACTCTCTGACCCTGGTTTTGACCTTGATTGCTGCCCCCGAGCTTTCTTAAAACAAATGTAACGTATTGTTGAGTTGGTTCTGACTCATAGCGACCCTATAAAAGCCAATCTAGACAATGTTCCTAAAAATAAAACATTCAAATTTTGTATTGATGTTTCCACAATTGATACCTTCTGTATTTTTCATATATACAATTTACATTTCCCTTAAGATTTGCATTTATTCTGGGACCTTTTGAATATTCTCTGCTCTGGTAGCGTAGTGGTTACGAATCGGGCTGCGAACCTTAAGGTCAGCGGTTCGAAACTACCAGCCGCTCTGCGGGAGAAAGATGAGGCTTTCTACTCCCGTAAAGATTTACAGCCTCGGAAACCCTGTACAGGGTCGCTATGGGTCGGAACCGACTCCACAGCACTTAACAACAACAAGTAGTGTATTAAGAGTCTTTCATTACCCATTCTAAATAAATGCTTGGTTTAAAAATAATTCCATTTATCTGCTTCAGAAACAACTAAAACTGAAGTCAGAATTTTCCATAATAAGGTACTAAAATTCTTAATTTCTTCAGATCTAAATTTCTTTATGTTACCTCACGTATATGAATTAAAAACTCTAAGTCATGAACTCAGCACATAGTTATGTTACATTCGGTGCTATTGAATTTGTTCTGACCCATAGAGACCCTGTATAGGGTTTCTGAGGAGCAGCTGGTGAGCTTGAACTGCCACACTTGAGGTTCAAACCGACTTTGCAATACAGCGCATCAACCCACAGCCACACCAGGACTCCTTAGCACATAGTAATGCTACATAAATGGTTGTTATTGTTAAGTGTTGTTGAGTTGTTTCCAACTCATAGCAACCCTGTATAGGGTTTCTGAGGAGGAGCTGGTGGGTTTGAACCACTGCCCTTGGGGTTAGCAGTTCAATCCTAATCCTAAAGCACAACACCAGACAGCTACCATAATAATAGTGATGCTTTGTATCCATATTAATATGCAGTCCTATGTGCTAAAGGAGCTCTGGTGAGTGTAGTGGTTACGAATCGGGCTGTGAACTGCAAGGTCAGCAGTTCGAAACTACCGCATACTCTGCAGGAGAACAATGAGGCGTTCTGCTCCTGTAAAGATTTACAGCCTTGGAAACCCTGCTCAGGGTCGCTATGGGTTGGAACTGACTCAACGGCACTTAACAATAACAACAACAATATGCTAATGGTTTTACGTATTGGTTCTGGGGTTGGTTGCCAAGATACTAGTGAGAAAAGAACCATGATAATCTTTCTCTGACAAGCCTGTAGGATGCCTTGATTAGAGCTGTTGGTGTTAAAGTATGACAAACAGTACTATATGAATCTCTTTCAATTTATTCTTCTCTTGCAAGAGGTTTAGCTGTTTCAGATACCTGGGTGACCATAACGGGTATGCTTCTTCTATGTTGCTTCATGAAATAATTTCATTGAGATTCAATGTTTCAAGTGGCAAGAATACAATACTAGAAAACGCACTTACAGGGATTTTATCTAAGTGAGAAATCTTGTGGTCCACCGATAGAATGGCTGTAGAATATTTCTGCTTTTTTTTTGCACAGGGTACCTTTCCATATTTCACAATCCAGGTTTCTCACTTTGCCTTCTGACTAAGGCCTTTAAATAGAGATGAAGACTGAAGGAGGAGGGAAAACGTATGACTATCTATCACTTTGCAACTTTTTCTAAGTGATACCCAGATTCCTTTGCTTCATAGTCTTGTCACTTTTGATTTTTAAAAAGAGCATTGACAATTCAAAAGATTAGACAGGAACCTTAGGCAGCAGTGAGTTTATGTTCATGTGGGAGGAACAACTCAGGAAAGGAGGGTAAGACTGGGTGTGTAACTCAAAGATGTAATCAATGCCATTCAATTATACATGTAGAAATTGTTCAATTGGTGCATGTTTTGGTGTGTATTTCCTAACAACATAAATAAATAAACTCTAGAGGGAAAACAACAACAACAACAACAACAACAAAAGAGCATTGAGAGTCTCTCACGTAGTGGCTGGCAGCCACACAAACACTCCCCTTCACACTCAACCACCCTATGAGACAGTATCCTTATCCCAATCTTACAGATGAGAAGTCTGAGAACCAGAGAGGATAGTGACTTGCCCAAGGTCAAACACTTGATAAGAGGATGAGCTAGTATGCCAACCCTGGCTTGCCTAATGATAAAACCCAGGTGGTCTCATTGATCCCATGCTGTATTCCGAAAGGCAGGCAGACGGAACCAAGGTAAAAAAACATGGGTCAGATGAACTCATTAGAACCAGAGAGGGGTTGGGCAAATTGTATGCAGGAGAGTGGGTGTAATAATTCCTGCATCCCTTTATCTCTAATACAGGGTTACTTTCTCCCCCAGTAAATGTATTTTGAAGTCCTTGAAAACACTACTGAATTATGTATGTTTATAACCATAACTTGTTAGGTGCCATCAAGTCACTTCTGACTCATAGCCACCCCATGTGAGTAGAACAGCACTGGGTCTTGTCCTAAATCAACCTTATTCCAAGAGGTTTATGGAGCAATCTGTTGTTTCCATGACAACCAACCCAGCAGGCAATTTGTTGATCTGGACTGATGACCCAAATTGCAGCTCAGGGATTTGGGTAGCCTGTAAAGCTTGTAAGAAGCACAGGAATCAGGGTGGTGGGAAAGGAAAAGACAATGAAACTGGGCAGGAAAGAAAAGGGTTGCAGAAGACTGGTTGAGGGGAAAAGCCTGGAGAAAAAGAAAGGAGAGTCAGTGGCTCCAGCCCAGGGATTCTCCCATCAAGCATCTGATCAATTATTGGGGATCTGTCTTTGTGGTTCCTGTTAGGTAGCCTTGTTGTTCTGGACTCTTCCCCATGAAATAATCCCCAGCCGACAACACCTGTTCATTCATCATCATCGTAATGGCTAACACATGTGGTACTCACCCAGTGGCAGGGACAGGTCTAAACATTCAATGCATTCATGCATTTAATAATCTAAAAGTGAATTCTATCATTGTCCACACTTTGCAGATGAGGAAGTGGAAGTAGAGAGAGGCAAAGAGCCTTGCCTAAGGTCACACGGCTAGTAAACGGCTGAGCTGGATTGGAAGCTAGGAATATAATCTCAGTAGGTAGAGCCATGCCTACTCACTTCATCTGGGCCTCATGGGCTGTTATCATAGAAGTTTCTTTTCCAAAGCACCGTTGCTGTGACATAGTGGGATAACCATTAGGTTGCTAACTGTAAGGTCAGTGGTTTAAACCGCCAACCACTCCAAGGGAGGAAGATGAGACTGCCTGTTTCCATGAAGATTTACAGGTCCGCTGCTAGTTGGAATTGAACTGAAGGCAGGGGGTTTGGTTTTGGTTTTGCTGCTGCAATGGGAGGTACCCAGGAGAATGACTTCCTAGTATTGCCAAAAAAAAACCTCTGTAATTTTATCTGTTGACATTGTCACCACTTTTTGAATACTTTTGAAGCTAGCCACTATGCTAAGCACTTTAAGCTTATTATCTCATTTAATCTCTACAACAACCATAGGGTATAGGTACTTTATTAACGTCATCGTACAGATGAGACTAATGTTTAGAAAAATTAAATAACTGGCACACAGTCACGCAGTCTAGAAAAGACAAAGCCGAGACTTGCATTCAAATTCCAAAGACTCCAGAAATCATGCTGGTAAATACTGAGTGCCATTTCTGACTGCTTGCCTAAAATGCTTTCATTGAGAAATGGTCCAACTTGGAAGAGTTTACTTAAAATTTATGCTAATACACAAACTAGTTAGCTCAACTTCAAAGAAACAAACAAACCAGTTGCCATTGACTTAGGTCCAATTCATGGTGATCCCATGTGTGTCAGAATAGAAGTATGCTCCATAGGGTTTTAATTTGCTGGTTTTTCAGAAGTTGATTGCCAGACATTTCTTCCAAGGTGCCTCTGTGTTGACTTGAGCTCTTATCGTTTCAGTAAGCAGCTGAACATAGTTACATACAAATGACAATTTGTGATGCTATGTAATGACTTCATGTATCAAGCTGGAAAAATGGATGACATGATTTATGATGTAGCAGAGCTAAGGGCTTAACTTAATGCAACAGCAATTATACAATAACATGCACCTGTATG